GGACATGATGCTGACTTAAATGAATATAGAGCCCGGTGTTAAGTACGATTCAATTATCAACACAGACAGCGGAAACACATGTTGATGGCTATGATATATTGCCGTCAATATATGGTGGCGATTGGTCGACGATTGTCAATAAGCGTTTGGACGTGAACCGAAGAAGACGAAGGGAAGAAGCCGATTGAAGATGAAGATACCGGTTCGGTCCAACGGCATTCAAAGGGTTGTAACCGCTTGTGGATAAAGTCGACGCGCAAAGAATATCAATTGTTTACGAGCAGTTACATGTGTATTGTAAAGAATCCACTACCATCAGCACAAACTAATGTATTTTTCTGGGTTTCAATTCATCACTTCCCTTCAGAAATAGCCGTTCTCGATCCCCCCTCATTACGCAACTCGATTCCTTGTCCAAATCGCCACCGGACCCGGTTCACAATAAAAACCAAGACGGGTACTTCGCTAATAATTTCCAATAAAAAAGAAAACTACGTGTCATATATTTAATGACGTAATTCCGGCGCGAGTTTCCGATTGGTCCAGCGTGTATCTGGCTCTCGGGCTTTACCCGAAATTCAAAAAGCACGTGACCTCACCGACCAAAAAAAAAGTCTGAAAGTCCCTAAAACCGACACATTGATTGACATCACGTACAGATATCTATCATCGTGCGTCTAATCATCGTATCCCTATGCCTCCAGCTGGATAACAATCGTAGCTCGTTCCACGAAATATCCTGGTCTCCTCCGCCGGTCGTAGATTGCCGTTAGCGCTTGAAAAACGACCCAGGGGATTCCTCGCCGATCGCGTCGTTTTCGTCCTGCCCGCCAGCGGTTCGCGGAAACCGCTCTCTTGTTTTTTCGCGCGAGCGCGTCCCGCGCTGTTGGAAAGTCGACGTTTTTGACCCCCACCCCCCGGCAAAGCATCGGTGCGCGCGTAACGCAAGTCAAGACGGCGGATCGGAAATTGTAGAGTTCCTTTGATTGGATATTGTCGGATTTGTTTGTACAATAACTGCAACGGAAAAAACGCCACGAAAAAACTCTAAATTATATTCGCTGTGACATATTTTTCAGATGACATAAAAAACCACGGACTTATACTTATGTGACACATTTACCTTCCGTTGACGTTCTATTAGATTATTTAAGCTACGTGAGTGCCATGTCAACACTCCATATAGGCAGATTTTTTACGGTTCTCATTGACAGAACTTTGATGGAGGGTAAATGTGTCACGCAGGTACAAGCTTGAGATTTTTTGTGTCACGAAAAAAAGTTTAAGATAAATGTGTCAGTAATGGACATAGGTTAAGGTTTTTGGTGGCTTTTGTCCTTTTTGTGAAAAAAGACCTAGTAAGACATTACTTTAGTCCGACAAAAAAAGAACATTACTTTTATTTTTCTTGTGATAAACACACGAAATATTGAGAATTTTCAAAACGTAAAAAGTCGAGAGACCGTATCGAGCATTGACACATTTCATTCCCGCCTTACAAGTTCTTTTCAAGCTACATGCTAGATCACGAATAATGTGTAACATGACTAAAGTCCCTTAAAAAGTTCAAGCTATTAGACAGATAGAGACTATATGCACATAAAACTTATTATAAACGAAATTCATAGGGAGACTATATTTTCCTTCATCCATGGTTGGAAGAAGCCATACCTCTCCGATCGAGGGTTCATGAACACGCTGAAATTCATAATCCCCTAATCGGGATGCCTATCGGGAATCGGAAATGGAGTAAAATACGTCTCTTCATAAAAGTTATAAACCCAAAAGTACGTCTTTGATTTGAGATATGCTTCTCTAGAGAAACATGAATAAAGAAACATGAATAAATCATCAAGGCACAGACAAAAACTGAGAAAGCCCAAATCCTTATTCACGATCTAACGTAGCATAGGTATTGTTAGCAATGTCCCGTCGAGATCCCACCTCTACCGGGTCCGACCGGCGGGCGGGACAGGCGGCCTTATCCGATTCGTCCCTCACGCATCGGGCGGCTCCGTCGAGACCGCATATTTGGCCCGAATACCTTGTTCCGAAAATCAAGTGGGTCTCACGTGGAATGTTAGCTGGGCGAGGGATCCACGAATTTCGGGGCACGATGATAGCCCGTGGCCAACTTAGTCATTGCATTAAATTTTTTTTTGGGGGAGGGGGGGATTATTATACTTGCTATCTTAATCCACATCCCAGAAGTGTGCGAATCATTGCCGATTTTAAAATGTTGCACCCCAATGATAGGAGAGAAAGTTAGGTGATCGTCCAATCGTGGAAATGTCAATTTCTGGCCTTTGCTAGCAATCCGACAGTTAGATTTGATTTCAGCTCCAACGACGGTTTCGTCCTTTCCCATATATATCTATATATATATATATATATATATATATATATATATATATATGTGTGTGTGTGTGTGTAACTCGATACGGGAATCCCGACACGCCAATAATTTTAAAAAAATATTATTTATATCGGAGAAATTCTTCAATTTGAAACTTCTTTCAATTATCGCCCCACCGGTTCATCATCCTTACCTCGTAAGACATCGATTCGATGTGACCTTATAGAATAAAGTTGAGGTTCTTCGATGACTTTCGGATGACTCGAAGTGGAAATTATTTTTCGTGCAGCATGTGACAATTTTTATGGTCACGATGGTTCGAGCTCGTACCGAAAAAAAAAAGTCGAACTAATAGAAGGAAAATCGATTTTTTCGCACTCGAGATTTCGGAAATTTTCTCTGATTATCAATGCATGTGGTGCAAATAAGGAGATATAGAGTGTGGTGGGAGTTGATTTTGTGGTGTGGTTTTTTTTCTCCTGGAAGGTGGTTGGGTGTAGATAAAATCATGAATAGCCTAATAGGAAGGAATCAACTGGTGGTTTTCGGTTTCAATTTTTCAGAACCGATCCTTACTGAGCGATTCTCGATTTCATGGTGGGAATCGTCCACCCGGACCATGCTCACCCTAGTAACACCAACAACATATACCTGACTTTTCCTTTTCTTACCCAAGTGGTCCCCATTCGATGGCCAAATCAAATTTAACGTAAACTAACGGATGGTAAATTCGTCACAAATGTATAAATTTGAATTTTTTGGTGATCAAAACATTAGTTTGGGGTAAATTTGCCACAGGTGTATTAGTTTGAGGTTTTTGATGGTAAAAAAAAATTAGTTTATAGTAAATTTATCACAGGTATATCAAAAATTTGAAGTTTTTCACGGTATTAACCCCATTTTTTTATTGTCTTCTAAAATCGAATTTTAAGTAATCAATGAAACACGCTAGGCCTAGGTAAGGGCAAGCGTCACCCAAACCTAGGCGCCCTACACCAGCCCTCAACTCAGTTTTGGGCGAGGCCTCGCCGGCCATCACCTAAGGCCGGCGAGACCTCTCCTCAACCTAGTGAGGATCGGAGGCCGTCACCTCACCGTCCCCAAGGGAGGATCGGCGTCGCCCAAATCTGGGCGAGGCCTCGCCTGAGGCTGGCGAGCTGGTCACCTCGCTCAAGACTAGCAACCTCTGCTGGCCCCCCGAGCGATGGGTGGTGGCTGCACCCCACCGGCGAGCCACTTGCGAGTTCCGCTGCCTTTTTCTTTTTTTGAGATTTGTTTTTTTAAATAAAATTATAACCTTTTCTTAGTTTTTTAATCTTATTTAAATAAGATTAAGAAAAAAAAATAAAACATGCCAAGTAGGAAAGAGAAAATGATTAAAAATTGACATGCCAACATTTTCCGTTAGTTAAATTGACATTATTAACTTTAGGACTCGATTGAACCAATTTAACAAGTTTTAAGACTTGATCGTACTTTTTGAAAGTTTTAGGACTCATATGCACTTTCGTGACAAATTATAAGACTTTTAGTGCACATATCCATTTTTCTTTTTGAATCCGTTTTCTTGGTCTCGTCAAAGATGACTCGTTCATTTAGCTAAAGAAATCGAGTAGAATGAAAATTGAATCTTAGAGTTCACATGTCTCCCTCTATTTTCTCTAAAATGCAATCGAGTGGAATGGAGTGGAGATAATGTTAACTTCAAACTCGACTCCACACACATGATCAATATTCGAAAAAGCTCGATCGAGTACTACACACCTTGCTCGAGCGCGACTCCAAGAATATAGTCGACAAATTCGAGCTTGAATCGACTAGGGTTCGTCGCACATAAGAGCGTAATACGGGATTTTAAGATCGTTTGACTGTCCGATCGGCGCTTTTCAAGCAGTGGAAATCGGTTATTCGTAGTAGGGTTTTCTTTCTTCTTTTTTCTCTCAATATGATAAATACCAAGAAAGAGCAATCACACTTAGAAAGGACATTCAAATGCCCCAAAAAAACCAACTCTTTAATAAAAGCAAACCGGTATAACCGTAATGGGATTGATTAAGCGGTTAGCGTGTTTAGACTCTCCCACTCGAGATTTGATTTCACACTGGAGCCACATATTCTTGCATTGAGGGCCGGGCGGGTCCTTTGGTTATAAAGAAACGATTTAACTCCTTGATTTGATACCTTGATTTGACACCGATCAACTTAGGCCCAGCCTATTTGACTGTGGGGGGGGTGTTCATCACCTGCCACGTGGGCTCTCATGAGCGGGCGGTCGTTGACGACACCAACCACCCCACCTGACCTGAATGATGAAGTGGAGACCGGGCCGACAGCTAAGAATGGCTGTGGCTCTCAGGACCGGCCACGTGGCCCGCGTGGCGACCCTTGGATCCGAATAATTCCCCCAAAAGGGAAAAAAAAAATCCCCGGGAAAAACCAAACGAGAAAACGCAGGTCGTTTCAAGGACGAGAGAGCAGCGCACATGCAGCGAACAAATTAACGAGGGGGCGAGCGCGTCGGTCCAACGAGTCTCCGTCTCTGACTCGCCAATCGTCATCGTCGCCGTCGCCGTCGTCATCGTCGCCGTCGCTCGGGCGAATGCGAGCGGCGGGAGGAGGCGTCACGGCACGGGAGACTCCGCTCCTCTTCTCCTCCTCCTCCTCCTCCGAAGAAGAAGAAGAAGAAGAAGAAGGAGAAGGAGAAGATCCGAGACCTCTCCTCCGTCTCTCCGTCTCTCTCTCCGTGCGAGATGAGACAGGTCGCAGAGAGAGGACGTGCCTCCGGCTTCCACGAGCTTCGCCAGGCGCCGATGAAGACGAACATTTCCTCGGTAATCTCTCCTTCTCTCTCGTTGATTGAAAGTACGGGCGCGGGGGAAGCCGAAGCTCGAGGCTCAATCGCAATTTTTCGTCTGCTGGAGCTTGTTCGGCGAATCCCTGCTCGTAGGAAGCGTGTTTTCCGATGTGTTTTCTCACGTGCTTTGGAATTCCCCGGCGCGCGGAAAGTTTCGCGTTCTCAGGCTTGATTGTCTGACCGATTTTCGTACGTATGCTGTTGCTGTCCGTGCTGCGCTCGCGAGATCGCGGACGACGCCGTTGAATCGTGCTCGCTCATCATTTGTTTTGCGTGGTTGTTGTTGTTGCTGTTGCAGAGATGCAGCTCTCTGACGATAGGCGAGCGGATCTGCGCGGCTTTCATACCGTTCGTGGCGATTTTCGAGGTTTTCATATTCACATTGGTCAATTGCTTCGAGTACCGGCCCCGGCCGCGGCCGCGGCCCAAGGGGTTTCGCTATGGTTTCAGAGATCTGGCTCGCCTTGCAGATGAGACAACATGTCTGTCCGTCTGTCTATCTGTCTCTTTCTGGCGATCTTTTAGCTGTTCCCTTTAATTTATGTCCTTTACATGGTGTTCGGGAAGAATTTTCTCATTTACAGAAACAATTAGCGCTTTATCGCCTGGGGAAGAGTGTGGATTTGCGGCGATGCTCACTGAATTCGAAATGAAGCTTGGCGTGTGTCGGTCTTTCTTTTTCTCTGTGCATGCGGGTTCTCGCGTTTGCGGGCGTCCAATACATGAAAACCCTGTTTGCAATCGTTGCAGTTGCTGTATCGAGTATGAGCATTTTTCGAACTGTGTCTTGTCGTGTCTATGAAAACGTAAATATGATCGTTATGTTTGTTGCTTCGCAGTCACCGTGAACGAAGTGGAAGCGTTGCATGAGCTGTTCAAGAAATTGAGCAGTTCAATCATTGATGACGGTCTAATCCACAAGGTAAATTGCATCGCATTGTTTGATACTTGCCATACATGTTTCATCGAGTCATTTATTTGATCGGCGTTTTTCCTATTCTATGTATTGAGTCCTTTGGAGGGAAGTTTTGGATTTTCTTTAGCTAGATTGACCAATCCATGCATATAGCATGAATTGCTTGGGGACTAAAGATTATGATCTTTTACTCATATTTGGAAGTTAAATGCCTATTGTTCTTGTTCTGTTCATATACTTTGCACGCAATCATATCTCTTTATGGTAAGTTTATGACATTCAGTATCCCTTCTCATTTTCTGAATGGTTGTGACTTTTGTCCAATTCCGCATGCAAATGATTTGCTCCAACTAATTTCACGCATATCTTCTTGTTGTAAGCATGCTATCCACTTACCAACTGTTAATTGTAAAACACCTGTCGGGCACAGGAGGAGCTTCAGTTAGCACTGTTCCAGACTCCATCAGGAGAGAACCTTTTCCTCGACCGGGTAAATAATCTCACCAACTCTTATCCATCTTTTCTCTCATGTTTTGCAATAGTTGCTCCGAACTGATTGGTCTTTGATACACATCAATGGGGTTAGTTCTTGGATGGCAAAGTGTCAGTGTAAAGCTTTCCCGGACCAAAAGTAGTGTTACTATGTATGTCAAGGGGAGAAGATGCCATGTCTGTTTTTTGCCCCCTGAAATTATTACTAAATAGAGCAAAAACTATTCCCACCAATGATGTTTCATTTAAGATTCGAAGGATGTTGGGATATGGGTGGCAGTGCTAATCCTTTCTTGGCCTTCCTCGTCTCTTTGTTGATATATGTTTTGTGTTTGATTTCTTTTCTAGATCTTTGATGTTTTTGATGAAAAGAAAAATGGAGTCATTGAATTTGAAGAGTTTGTCCATGCACTCAGTGCCTTTCATCCCTATGCTCCAATGGAAGACAAAATAGATTGTAAGGAAACAATATGTGGTTTACTAATTTTGTTGCAGCAGAGTTACTTTGTGTTGATGGTAATAAATCTATTGTTTGCAGTTGCCTTTAGGTTGTATGATCTCAGACAAACAGGGTATATTGAACGAGAAGAGGTGAGTATGTTATTCATCCTGATTGCTGATTTATCGGACATATAGGCAATAGGCTCATTAGCCTTCCATTGGTTTCAGGTTAAGCAAATGGTTATTGCAATTTTGATGGAATCAGACATGAGTCTGTCCGAGGACCTCCTTGAGGCTATTATCGACAAAGTAATACAGACCCCACCAAAAGAAATGCATTATTTTCCTTCTCATTTTCTGCTCACCTTTGGGAACAACCTCATCCTCACAGAAGGAATATTCCTCTTGCAGACATTTGCTGATGCAGATGCCGACATGGATGGTAGGATCAGCAAAGATGAATGGAAGGCTTTTGTGCTACGAAATCCAGCTCTTCTGAAGAATATGACTCTTCCATACTTAAAGTATGGCTTTGTTCTCTCTGTCCTTGTTTTGCACGTCATTGTTTCCTCACTCTTCATTATCGTTCTTTTCTTTTTCAATATCCTTTTCAATTTCTAATTGACCGTCAAAGTTTGGCAGTATGGATTAAACTGCTTATACAAAATCTTATTTTCCAGGGATGTCACCACCGTGTTTCCGAGTTTTGTTTTCAATACTGAAGTCGAAGACTGAAAGCTCTAGTGATTTATCATGGCACTACTGGACACCGCCATCGTCTCACACGAACAGCCTCATTTCAGCAGATATATATAGGTGTGGATTGTAGACTGCTTTTAAGGTTAGAGCAGATTCCACTTTGTCATTTGATTATGGGGACTACAGTGCAGCCATCTACTCAGTGATCCGAGCAACTGAGGAAAAGAAAGGAACTTATGAGAAGGCAAAATGCTTTTTTTGCTCGGAGTAGAGTACGACATTCGCGGGTATCTGCTTGATGTGGGCTGGGCGTTAAATTACAGAATGGTGGAAGAATCTGAAAGAGAAAAGAAAGGGAAAAAACATAGAAGAAACCTGGATTCTAGTCATTCGACCCCTTATAGAGAATTTCATAGCTCGTGCTCCTCGCTCAGGCACGATCATCAATTTTCTAATGGCGTATTTATTCACCAACGATTTACAATAGGTTAGTTGTGTACATAATTTTCCTCGTCGACTAGGCATCAGCAGCTTGAATGTTATAGTTCGGACCTTCGAGAGAAAGATCATGGCACTCTAGGTCAACCCTTTTGGCTCTCGAGTCCGCCTTTGAAGGCCTTGTACATAGTTCCCTATGCGATAGGGACAATTGTTTTTGCTTAGTGAACATTGATACAATTCATCTTCTCTTTTGACATTTTGCTTGACTCTGTTTCTCAATGTTTTCTTTGTTTTGGTATACACACAGGGCAAGAGCCACGCGAACCACAAAAAAAGCTATCGAGTACTGCAATCTTTGATTCCTGATTTTTCTCCTAAAACAGAAATAGCCAACTCCGAAGGTAGAGTGGTCGGACCGATTACCTCGCTCTGGTTTCGGAAACCCGTGTTCGCTAGGTGATTTGCTGGTTATGGCGCGTAGGTATGTGAAAATTGGAAGCTGTGATGAATGGAGTCAGCAATGTGATTTCAAACGCGATGAGATCGACTGTTGTATCAATGCAAGAAGAGCTTTAATTGGACTAGAATTCTGTGTGCATTTTAGATTTGACTACTAATTTGGAATTTGATGAATTTCCTTTACCTATTATAAGTTGGATGTTGAGTTTCTTATGTTTCTTAGTTAAAAGGTTTCCCATTCCAACTTGAAGCAGGATTTCAGTTATATAAAGGTGCAGTGGTTATTCTTTCTATTCATACATGAAAATTATGGAAATTTTAGCGAGTCTTTACTCTGGAATACGATGCAAACCTAAACTTATTTACTCGTCCACTAAGACTCTTCGTATCCTATATCGAATAGGGCTCACTACTTTGAGACTCGTCGTACTATACGAATGCCTCCTCCCAATTGGCCACTGCTGAAGCCAGCGGGGAATCTAGGTCGCCGCTGGTGGAGCAGACTCTTGCTGTTGAGGTGGGCAATGCCGAAAACACAGTCATTCCTAACAAATGTTGATAAAATCATAGAGAGAGCTGGGACATTGATCAATCTTGGTCCCGAAGCGATTGCTCTCTGCACCACTAGCACTCCTGGTCCTAGCGTAAAGAGAACGGAAAACCAGAGTCTCGGAGCTGGAGACGCACAGTGAAACAGGATGGGTGATCACAGCAACAATACAGTTTGTTCGAGGCCTCGGGGATGGATGAATCGTGAGCCTGATCACGAATGGTGAAGGAAAAGAGGAGGCTGGATTAAAGTAGGAAGAAATTGGTTATGATGATGAAGGTCCTGTTAACGAGGAAAAGGAGGAAATCGTCGTGGTACCGAATGAGATGATTCGTCAAGACGTATTGGGTAAAAGGGTTGTCGGCTGCTCTGAAGCTGCTTGAGCAACGGGGGGGAAGCTCAAAGAAACCCATCGACTTGTGGTGGTCCAAACACGGGTGAAAAGAAGGGCAAGCTAATAGGCATCGCAGATGATGGAGGGGAGAGCGATCCCCATTGAAAGGACGGACGAGTCTGGTTGAACTTAACAACGAAGGAAGCTTTGCCGGTCGTTTTCCCGTACCTTTCGTGGGAAAGGTCCTGCCAAAAGAAAACTCGAAAAGCGCGTTAAGCAGTACCAGCAAGAGTTGAAGTTGAGTTAGATGAATGATTCGGACAATCCGACTTCGCTAAGCAGTAGCGATCCTTGAAGTGGCATTTGCCAGTATCGAGAAACATAATGAGGCTCCACGCCCTGCTTTGGTGATAGGAAGGTCGAGCATTCCTTGGGTCAGAAGCGACAGCATGAGCCTACTAAACTTGGGAGCGCCAAGAAGGCCGAAAACCTGGAGGTATTATCCTTTGCGGGGATGACTGAATTTGAACTGAAATTGGCAAATTCTAGTCTTCCCGGCCTCCGGATGAGAACGGTGCGTGCATCGTCCGAATATTGACGTTTCTACCAAACTTTGGTTCGACGCATTGTTGCATCAATTAAGCTTAAATTGGACTGAGATTCTATCAGTTAGGAGTCGAGCTCTAGTGGGGATTTAATAAGTTCTTTCTTCCTATTATAAGCATGGTTTCTTCTCCACATGTTCCCTATTTTGTAAGTTTCTTTGTGCTAAATTTCAGATTTCAACTTGGAGTAGAACTCTAGAAGAGTTTAACTGCCAATACGGTTCTTCCCATCAATAGAGCATGTGAACGAGCGTCATATTTTACGACGTTTCTCTGAAGTGTTATGCTGGAGAAACTGTTACTTTTCATCTCGTGATGTCTAAACGACTTGGAATTATCGTTCATTGCGCATTCTTTTCACATCCCAATCAGACCACAATTCCTTAAATATAAAAAGACGAGCATCTAAAAAACCCTCCCTTTCTTTCTTTCCCATTCAATTTTTCACAATACCCTGCAGAGATCGACTGTTTACACTTCACAAGTAAGATCTCCACAAGTTACATGACTTTAATGACCTTTTATTTTATTTTTTTCCTTGTTTCTTTTGTTCCCTTTTTGTTTTTAGCATCGTTCTTGCTTCTTACACTTTCTTACATGAGAATTGACAGTTGCATGTTATGGTAATAAAACAAAAGCACATCCCAAGTGGGAATCCTCCACTGCACTTTTGCAGCCTGCTTCATTGAAGAGGATGTCCACCTTGTGCTGCTGAATGGAGAGTGCTCGTGCCCCCACTTTGACTGAGCCAGCACCTCACAAATAAAAAGTACTTTCTCTCTCTACAGTTTCTTTCGCCGAACGAAAACCGCTACCTCTGGCTCTTCGAGCCGAGGATCAAGCATCTGTCTGACTATGAGAATTACAGGAACAACAATCCCCCAGCGACGTTAACTGGTAGAATTCTTTCTGTCAACAACCAACCGTTGGAGACGTCTAAGACGGTACATAAGCTGAGTAAATGTAGGCCGCAAATGTGGCTCCCTGCAAGAGGCAACTCCTAGTCAATTGTTGAGTGAAAGCAGCAAAGATCGATTGGAAGTCACAGCACAAAGGCTTCCGGTTACCAGATAAATGATTTTGTCATTCAAGAGATTGGAAAAGGTAAGAATAACACACTAAATAGCAGATATGCATATTCATATCAGATCTTGTGTGGGAAATGTCAAGAAACATTCTCAACCAGATATTCCCCATCTTCTGTTGACCAGATATAATGCAGAAATTTTAGGCTTAAGACTTACGTTTGCCAACATTCTTGCATTATCTGTGCAACAGTGGGGTCAAGCTCCTCTGGGATTTCAAGACGCCTGTTCTGGAAACCAACAGCTCCAACAACTTGCATCGAATTCAACCCCTTCCATGGTATGGACAAGGTTGCCAACTCCCAGAGTATCACACCAAAGCTATAAACATCACATCTGGAAAAAAATATGAAAATGTTCACATGACAAATCCAGGAGCGAAATAAAAAAATTATACAAATGGAACACGATAACATTGTTTACACTTACTTCTCGTTGGCCGGTTCATTCCTTAGAACTTCTGGTGCCATCCACTCCGGCTGTAACAAAAGAAGGCTTCATCATTGGGATATGTCAAATAGTTCTCATGATTTAATTTCATCACTAGGGGGCATTCAACAATACAGCAATACGCCTAAATAAATATCACCATTGACATTACCGTTCCAGCGGTGGACTTTGAGGACAAAAACGTATGATGCTTCATTCGTGACAAGCCAAAATCACAGACCTGGAAAGGCAAAATGACGAATCTTAAAGATTGCTTCTAAATTTAAGATAGAGTGCCGAAGTGGGAAAGAAGCGTCCAATTTTTGTTAATGTATACCTTAACAGCCCAGTTCTTATCAACAAGGAGATTTGGAGATTTTAGATCTCGATGCACGATAGTTGGGTGGCTTGTGTGCAAGTAATTCATCCCTTTTGCCTGCCAGCAATGAGAAAACAAGGCCCAGAAAGGTAGGTGAGGAGGAGCTCATGGATGTAACAGATATCTCACATAACAATGTATCTCTGCAGAAACTTGTGGCAGTTATGTGTGGCCTAAGACAAGCAGGCAACTGGAAAATGCACAATGCCATGCACATGTAACTGGAACGAGCTCACACTCCCATGCACTCAGAGATCATGAGGAGAGGGAGGAGAGGGAGAGGCAAGGAGGGAAGTTAGTAGGACAATCCCATACCACATCAAGAGCCATTCGCATTCGCCTCCTTTCATCAAGTTGAGGATTGGGACGATGCAGTAACCGGTATAAACTTCCCCTAAGCAAAGAATTGTAATGTAAGCATGCAACATCAAAGTGGAGATTTTAAGATCGTAATGTCATGTGAAGATATCAGTCATTGGAAGTCTAAACATTTGGAAGGAAGACTAAAACTTGTAGTATGAAGCTATCACTAATTGAACAGAGTCTTGAAGTGGAGAACCTAGGGAGAAATTCTGTCAATATAGAAAAATGAGGAGGCCGTGTAACTGCTCCCATGAAAAGGACGACGTTGGGATGCCGCAACCTTAACATGATTTCAACCTTGAAAGAAAGCATAAAATTCGATCAGTTTCATCCAATGAAGGAACTGATAAGGTAACGAAATTCAAGCAATCAAACTTACTTCACATTTAAATTGAGCCAATGCTTCCCCCGAAAAATCTTGGTCCAGAAACTTCTTTACAGCAACTTCCTGTCATCGGATACAATGCCAAGAACTTCATTACAGAACATGCGACCAAAATTATATGCATACCACAAAACCAAGCAATCATGACCATAAAACTATGTCATACATTGAGAAAAAGAAGTTCATTAGTAAGAGGCCAAGAATTTCATTAGGTATTGGTAAGCATTTGGTGAGGATTTTTGCTTCAAACAACTGAAAAGATTTCAATTTTAAGTGACATAAATCACCATAAATCTGACTAAATGTGAGGCTGGTATCAACTAATGATGAACAATCATGACTCGGAGAAGAACTGGAACTTACAGTCCCATTCCACTCAGCTCGATAGACCTCCCCATATGATCCTGCAAAATAAAATTTTTAGCAGAACCCATTACTAGCATTAAATGACACAGGCAATTACAAGTCTAGTTATTTATTATAAGAACATGACTGTTCTTTAACAAAAATCTACGTTCAAGTTCAACAATTGTCAGTATGGCAAGAATATGCTCCCCAAATAAAAACATTTAACAAAACCAAATAGAAAGCCCTTGTGCGCGCTATATCGTACCATTTCATGAGAAAATTCCAGGCAACCAAAATTCAAAACCAACAAAGAATGCCGAGACAATGATCAACGGACACTAGCTCAACGCATTTCTTGCTAGTTAGCCTGAAAAGAAGGTTTTAGTCAGTTATTTCAACGCCCCAAAGCATTTCATCTCTCAATATGCTCTTCCTTGTCTCTAGGAGCCTAGGCATCCACTGTGAACCTTTCCTCGTTTGGACCTCACCCTTCACTCTAAGGATATGCCACCAAAGGCACAGGCTTATTGCTCTCAAAGAACTTTAAAGTCTAAGGACAAGTAGTTTTTGCAAATCGATAGCTCTCTCCTGGGAGCATGCAAAAAGGGTATATGAAGAGTGTAGCCAAAGCCAAGGGATTCTTTCGACAAAAAAAAAAAAAAAAAAGAAAAGCCAAGGGATTCCGAAAGGGCTGAGCACAAGCGGAGATGACACATCATAGGCACCAGGCTAAGAGGCAGTTGAGCAACTCAAGCGAACTGCCCTAACTTACTGAAACATAGAGACAGAAGGGATAAGGTTTTGAAGGTGGCCTGAGTACCAAATCTTCCACTACAGCTCGTAATTTACTCATCTATGTTTATACTAAGGTATAATTAAGCTTACGAAAAGATGGAATCTCCCTAAAAACTTTAATGTGATCTTTGACAATTTGAAGTGCGTAAAACTACAACTTGTGTTATACTCAAAGATGTCAGTTTCATCATATAGATGCAAAATGAAGGACAGTATACCCGTACAATCAAATGCAGAAAGAAAGATGCCTTCTTCTGAGTGAAGAAATCAATACACACCTTTCATCCAATCAGTTTGAATAAACCTTCGTAATATTCTCCTTAATTTAAGTTTGAACAAGATGCCATTACATACTCTAGCCAAGAAGATCCATTACATTAACATAGACATGAAAAACGCCAAATGGACCAACTTTTGAAGGTTTTTCACACAGATGACAAAATGCATTACATAGTCAATCAATACTAGAGACTAATACATGGAAAGAGAACAACAAAGGATCAAGAAAACAGCATTATGAAAAACATAGAAGCACTCAATGCTCAAGTAAGGACACAGAAGATATGAAGCGAAAAACCAAAAGTGCGCAAAGAGGTCCAATTCCACACCAACGGAAAAATAGCTAGCAGAGAAACAATCTGATGAAAATACCAAATAGTAACTCTTAATAGATGATTATGCTGAGCTCGGAAAGTAATCAGTCAAGATGCAAGATAGACATCTTATTGTAATGCAATGATCTTTGAAGTACAGTAAAGGCATACACATCTTAGACAGCATTAGAAAACAATCTCTAAGAATTTTCCATCCTCCCAAGAGGACTGACATAGAAAGTGTAAAAGTTCTTACCAATACCAATTCGTTCGCCTATTTGAAGATCTTCCCATCTAATGTCACATTCTGCATCCCCACCAAGCACTGGGTTAATTGTCTCACTGTGACCATTACAGTATATTACATGTGCACCGCTGGCTCTGGCTCTTCCTTCCAATTTCAAAGAGGATTCAGCACCTGCATTGTCATAGTTATGACCACTGGTCGTGCACTGCCCAACTTGAGTTTGAGAAGAATCACCTGAAACAGAAAGAAAGGTCTCCTAAATCAATTCCTTATGCAAGGTGACTCCCAAGTACAAAGACAGGAGAGCCATACCTGAGATTGCAGCACTAGTCTGAATCATATCACTGATTCCACTATTAACAAGCACAAATCCTTCACTTGCAGCATCGGGAGATTCAGACCACAAAGAGTAGCCAGAAGTAGCAGCATCCTTATCCAACTTTACAAGCTTTTCAGACAATTCCATGGCATTCATTTCTGATTCACCAGCACAGCTAGTGCTTTCCACTGGCCCAACAACAGTTGAAGGTAACCGATGACCATGACTGGAAAAGGACTTATCCTGACGGTGCTGAGACAAAAAACCTCCTTCATGTCTTTCAGCCAAGTAGCATCTTTCATTAGCTTTTTGTTTGCCAACTTCGAGACCATCACCATCCAAGAATAAATCAGGTGGAGGGGAGGCTCCACTCTCCAGCAAAACGGCATGGAGCTTCTGAGCGAATTCTGGATTTTTGGAAGCACTGATGACATACTTTGAAACATTTTTTACTTTGACCTTCTGAGATTGTCTAGCTTCTCCACTGATACTTGATGGACGTTCCCGTGATTTATGTAGTGAGGGAAGAAGTTTCCCAAAATCATTTTCAAATATTTCAGTTTGATTTCTTTCAGAAAGGAGCCTTTCGTTTTCTTCTGTGCTATTGCCAGCACGAGATGTGTCTCCTGTATTCAAGTGGCCAATGTGGGAAGGTCCCTCAAAGTTTAGGCCCACTGCCAGTGTTTGAATTGTAGCGTCAAGCAAATTAGGCGATATCTCAATATTGGAACTCTGTAGACAACTCGCAGGTACCTCAACAGGAATTAGAGTGCCCGGAGCACCCATCAAGTCGATTATGTATTCACCACACCTATTCGACACATTAATCAAATTAGTGTCAATTACTTCTATAGACTGGTAGAAGAAATCAATTCAGAAATTGAGACAAGAAAGAACAGAAAACAATGTGCATTACAAGAAAACTTGCCCCAGCCACTAAAAGATTTCAAACCAGGGACATCACTACGACCCGAGAAACAGTCACTGCTCAGTACACACCATTCTACTACATTTCATGTTTTATGCACCAACTAAGAGCTTACAGAGAATTGGATAAAAGATTTAGCACAATACTGTCATAGGGTTCATACAGCGGACAGTACTTAGCGGATAAATTAATTTGTTGTGCTTCTGTATACAGAAATATGGTATGATAGAAAGCAACCAAGTCTAGGTAATAAGCAACATCACCATGCTTCAAGTGTCCAGAAAATTAACTATCAACAGAAGTGGATATAACTGTACTCCAAAAGCAACGAAGTCTAGGTAATAAGCAACATCACCATGCTTCAAGTGTCCAGAAAATTAACTATCAACAGAAGTGGATATAACTGTACTCCAAAAGCAACCAAGTCTAGGTAATAAGCAACATCACCATGCTTCAAGTGTCCAGAAAATTAACTATCAACAGAAGTGGATATAACTGTACTCCAAAAGCAACCAAGTCTAGGTAATAAGCAACATCACCATGCTTCAAGTGTCCAGAAAATTAACTATCAACAGAAGTGGATATAACTGTACTCCAAAAACAATACAAACATGCACCCTGAAGCATGCAGGCATACAAAACTTACCAAGAAATATCGACAGGACTCACCATATCAGCAGCAAGAATAAAAATTAAGGAGGCCAAAAAACAGTTTCAAGGTTACTATAGAAGAGTGAATAAAACTTCTAAAGCAATTTCAGCTTTAGCAACAAGTTTGGTTTAAGATAATCACAGATGTTACAAAAGCAGATCATCACCTTCCAATTCCAGTATCAATCTTAATCAGGTTCACGGCTCCTTCATCAGTGCCAGTGTAGTAGCTTCCTTTTACCAGCTTACAGGGAATATCAAGCCTATCTGCTAGAACCTAGCATCCAAAATATAGAATGAATCAGGTAAAATTTGACAGTGGGCTTAATACAGACACGTAGGCTAACTTGTAAACTTGACAATCTAGCAAAAGTCCACTTGAAAAGAGAATAGAGAAAATAACAAAAAGAGAGGCAAAGCCAGATTATTCTGTCTATCAATCAGTTTACGTCATGAATTGCTAGAAAAACTGTAAAACCTTAAAAAGCAAGGCCCTGTGCCGTGAAAGTCCAACATTGAGTAATCCAAGTGGCAAAATAACAGTTTTGAGCGAACTGCGGAGCTCAAAACTTCTTGTGCTCCACCTCTTCACCATTTCATCGGCATCGCCAACTGGACCGCCCATTCTATCAGCAACCACATCAGCAACTTTCTGAATCAAGCCACCCATAAAAGGACCACAATGAGAAGCTTGACACTTTATAGATAGAGCAACTGCCATGTCCTCGAGCTGTTGCAGCTCAAAATCAACCATGCGGTTCACCAGTATTACTTCGTAATCAACATCACCAGAAACAGATATAGCTTGAAGATCCACAAACAATGGCATCTTTCCTCGTGCAACTATGTCTGGTTTGATGCCGTACACGTCATAAAATCCATCCATCACCTTTTCATCGTAATTGACCACATTATAAGTCTGCATTCGACGAAAAATCAAGAGTTAAAATTGATTACCAAAAAAGTAAGCGTTCAAAGTTTCACAACAATGTGACAAGAGTCACAGACAGATTTCACCCTTTTAAGCTAACACTTTCGTAGTACAATTATCTTCTAGGAGGTTTGCCGAATTTACTAAATGATGCAGAAGAATGAGGGACAGCAACAAGGTTATTATTAAAGTTCACGAGGATTCGCCATTTTACGGAGTGGCTTTAAAATGTGGAAAATGAATCAAGCACGTGAGACAAAACGTAACCAGCACTCAATTAGATTGCAATACTATCATAACACGTTGAAAGGGAAAATTTGATTCAGTAAATGCAAATAACAACCGGTCATAAACTAACTGTAAGATCAAAACATATCATCATTAACATGTAAAATCATGTTCCTAAAACGAGACATGAGGATAGTGAAAGACAAATGAGACAGAAAGTCAAATGCTCTTATAGAATTTGTGATGCATTTGAGGCTAAATGGCACAAGCAACACTTAGCCAAGGTATTAGCAGGGAACGTCAAAGGTAAAGCTCCACGACACAAGATCCGTAAAGAAACGCCATAGATAAATTACAAGACAAAGCACACAAGGATCCTTTTGCTCCATGTAACTGCGACCTTTTCCATTCCATACATGGAGGGCCTGCTTTCTATTAAATGGTGATCGATTGGCAGCCAATGGAGACAAAATTGTTCGTCCAGTTGGTTCTAAAAGGCAATCCCATGGAAGCCAACCGATGGCAGGTGGCGTTGCCTGCCAATCACACTTAGTGACCTAAAGGATGATGACGAACATTTGAACCTCAGAATCAGAATTCCAAATGACCATTTTGACGGATCAGTAACTAGCCTATCACAAAGTGCACGACACAATCGTAACAACAACGCAACCGATCCAATCTCAATTCAACCTGATTCAAAAAAAAAACCCCAACAAAACTAGGGATCAGAAGACTTACCCAATACCGAAGCGAGAGAAACTCCACCATGGCGTTGGGCTCCGCCGCGCTCGCCGCGGGGCAGCCGAGGCTAATCCGCTTGGCGGCATCGATCTGGGCCGACTCCTCGGGGTCCTCGCGCACCTCCACGTGATCGGCCGACGACGCGCTGATCGCCAGCGCCAGCTGCACCTGGAACTCCTCCTCCAGGAAATTGAAGTCCCCCGCCCCCGCGTCGCCGCCCCCCGCCGATTCGGCCGCGATCGTCCCCATCCCCCGCGAATCCGGCGACGGCGAGGGCGACCGCGCCGCCGGATCGGGGCCGCCGCCGCCGACCCCCTCGGCGGCGAGGCTAGGGCTCAGCCCGGGCGGGGCCTCGCCCAGGCGGTGGTGGTGCTCGGGCAGGCCGCCGCCGCCGATGTGGAGCTTCCTCAGCAAGTGCTTCATCTTCGACATCGATCATCAAGGCCTCACCGATCCATGAACCGCCAAATCCCTCCCCTCGACACTCGAATCGCCCCCTCTCGTCGAGCAGAGCAGCAGCAGCAGCAGCAGAAAGTCGTCGGGGGCTTTCGAGTTTATCTGCTAGGCGATGAACTGGCCTTAACCTGCGCACGCCAGGGGAGGGCGGAGATTCGCTTAACCTGCGCACTCTTCTTCGTCAAGCTACCACCACTTGAAGAGAAGAGAGAGAGAGAGAGAGTTAAATTAACCGCTCAACCATTCCCTCCAGGCTCCAGTTCAGTGAATGGCCCTATGAACTAGAAAATGGAAAAAATATATAAACAAATAAATAAATAATAAAATAGAAATGAATTACTCTTCAATATTTTTTTATTTTTTTTGTTTTTAAATCGAATTTGATGACGATGGCGATGATGATGGACTTTTCTTTTTCCTTTTTCCCGCCCCCGGCCGCCACGTGGCGATCTTCGGCCCCCAAGTGGGGGAGGGATGAATCTTGGCGCTTCGCTCGCCTTTCTTGCAATTTCGTGCTGCTTTAGAGCTTAGGTCAAATCAAGTATGTTGCACGTAACACATCTTCTTCTTCTTCCTTTTTTTTTTTATGATTTGGGATCTTATAATTGCAAATTGGCCCCCTCGATGTCATCCCAATACCCATGTTTGTATTAAGAATATGGATGGATTAGAAGAGGGCAAGATGGATATTCCCCCAAGGATTCTTCTCTTGTTTCCTTTTCTTTCTTTAATGAGGAAGATGATTTCAAAAGTTTATCCAGTTCGGGACGGGATGAGTCTTGCGCTTTGAGAAGCAATGGAGTCGAAATCGCGATGATTCTTAGTAAATCCCTCGACTTCGTCACCATGGATAATAAACAAATCGGAGTTGATATCGTTCCAATTGCCATTGCAAAAGTAATTGGTATTTTTGGCTACATGTTGGATAGGTGGGAGGTGATGACACACAACAACTAATCTTGAAAGACCACTCTTTCGTCTAAGGGTTCCTAAATCGCCGCACCAAGAAATCGAAGTGCAAGGACATTGGGAGGTGGGCAGTTTATCTGGGGCGGATGCCTCCTTAAGAGTAACGGAGGCGTGCGAAGGTAGGCTCAAGCTAAGTCTCATTTTATCTTTGATCGAATTGAAAAGGGCGAACTTAATTTGATGCGCAGAAAATGAATTCGAAAATATTATATAGGTTACGGGACAAGGTTGGTTCTAAAGCATTTTGATGACATCTTTCCATTTAGAGGGTCATTGTGAAGGATGGTGTCATAGACCAAAGTGGAATGGACATTCATTCTCGTGGGCACTATATGCCTAATTCAAGGCATGATATGGGGTTGAATTGGTAAGCCTACCCTCTCTTGGTGGAGCTATTTTGGTGAGGGAAGCAACCCTCTTGCCAAATAAAGTCAATTGGCTTTATCCTCTTTCGTTCCACCCATGAGAGGAACTTCTCCCCCTTTTAGAGTGGGGATCACATGCCAATTCTTCAATTTTCTTCTTAGCAAAAGTCCAAACCCTAGATTTTGACCCCAAAAAAAAAAAAAAAAAAAAAAAAACAAACCCTAGAGATTTATAAAAACTAACCTACTAGACATGGATAAGGCAACAGACGAACGTAATTCGGCAGTCAGAGTCACGTAAAAAAGGTGGCGGTGAGCTTATTACAAAACAAATTAAGCTTCCCGATCAAATGATGTTAACATTGCTTTCCATCTAGTGATGGGAAGAATGCTATTGTGACAATAGGCAAAAGCGGTGTCGTTTAATGACAGAGTTCGATTTGTTAATGCAACGAGACTACAATTTTGGGGGGGTTTTGAGCGCAGAAGTGACGTTCAAGAGAATGGATCCATTTTTAGTGTAGCTGGCCTTAGGGTGTTCTTTGTCTCTTGTTGCTGGATCCTTTGGGTGTTCTTTGTCTCTTGTTGCAGGATAACTGCAATATGTCAAAATGCACAATTGAAAAAAGAAAGATAGAAAAAAAAAAAAACACGGTATACAAGAAACACAAGTGATCAGTTTTAGGAAAATATTTTTTGGATCATTCATTTTTCCGTGAAACAAACGAAGCCTAAGTCGCTGTCCAGACCGATCATGGCTCACACATCTCGTTTGAGCTAAGGTTTCTTACTTAAGATCCTCTGTCAAGCTTATTCACATTACGGTTACTTGGAAGAAGTTGTCATCGTCGGGCCCGTTATTAAAATCTAATGCAGAGCGCGAATTTTTCTTAAGGAACGAACTACTTTTAAGCACGATGTTTATTTGTCCAAATAGCATCGTCATGACGGTTACAATTAACCCTAATGTCTCATTAACTAAAAAGCACGGTTCTCAATTATCAGTTTTACTCTTGCTCGCTGTCTCGAAATCCTTCGCCTAAGTAAAAGGAGTGTAAAAAACGACTCAAAGACCCGTGACATATGCGGATCGATTGTAAGAGTAATTTATTCATACGACACGATGCTCTTAACTCCAAGAAATAAGTCTAGACTGCGACTATGGCTTCTCAATTCAGTCGTGCTATGTTGCACGAACATTTATGATTTCGTGATGACGGAGTATAATCAAAAGACGGATTCATTATCGTTTTTCTATTGTTAGTTCTATATTGTTTAGCCCTTTTGAATTCGTTGAAGTGTTCGAGAAAAGATGGAATAAACCCTTTTGATTCTTTGGACCTAACTGAAACATTAAGTTATATAACTCAGAGAAGCAAGCAACGTAGATTCAATATTATTATGTAGACTATAGTTCAAAGTATCATTGTAACTTATGTCAATGTGATTGTTCATGTATGTACATGTTCGAGCATAGATGATTTTGTGGTACACCTTACAGAAGTGATTCTGTCGAGGAACTTTGTGATACTCACTAACCAATCAAATGAAAATATATTTAAATTTTGGTACCTTGACTTTTTCTCGTGACGTTCGTAATCGTATTTATAATTGAGCTGGTAATTCTCGACACGACCCGTTAACACGACATTACATGCAATTAAGACTGGTTTAGGTCTCGTATAATCGAGTTCGTGTCATGACCGGTCGCATGTAGGCGACGACAAGAATCACGTCTTGCACGGTTCGACCACCCGCTTAGTCGGTTTAAACACAAATTAACAAGGTGGTGATGGAGACAGTTTATCCTTAGGCTGCCTGGTCAAATCGAATTTCCAATGGAGGAATTTCAAGGATATTTCGAATGGTTTGCTGGGGAAGGGGGATTTAGGAGGGAAGAAAATTTCGAATTTGCCTTTATCCTTTTCTCTTAAAAATTTTCCAAGTCATTCTTCATTGACCCCGCCCACCTCCCACTTTCCTCACGTCCATTTACTTGCCAAGCAAAACCCAAAAGCTTTTCGAACCAAAACCCAAAAGTTTATAAAAATAAGAGCCATACTCAAAATATACAATTGATAAAATATGTTTATAATGCAAAAGTCATTAAACATAAAAAAGCTAACTCAATTATACACTTTAAATGTAATGTAAAGTGAAATTACTCATATTGTCTAAAATTCTATTAAATGTGTATTAACACATTTTACATATTTATCGTATAGATAGGTTAACTTATTTAATAGGTTAATGTATCATGTCGTGTCGACACCTAATAGGGTGAGACTCTTGATAGTCATGCTAGTTGTGTTATATAACCTGCTTAATTAGGCGTGTCGTATTCATGTTGAAGCAGTTCAACTCTTTTAGTGAATGTGTTGTCTTTAAATTAGTCGTGTTCATGTTATACCCCGTTTTGACTCCACATAATTAACACAACACAACACAAATTACCAACCTAATCAATATTTTAGATTTTTTTTATTAAATGTGTTAAATGATTACATAGACTCCACTACACCGATCGTTACTTGACAGGTACATCGACTCAATTACCTTGACGGTTATTTGACTTTACTATGTTAACAGTTACTTCTTTATAAGTAGAAATCGAGATTGTCGACTCAACTACTTGTCGGTCATTTTTTTAATAGTTGCATCCGAGATTGTTGACTACATAATTATAAAAAATTTAATAATTGATAATTCAAATTTCTCTAATTTTTTTAATAAGAGTTTGTGTTTATAATTTAAAATAACCTATACTCATGCATAATAATAAATATGTAAAGTCATAGTTCACGAGAATCAAACTAATTATCAAATAAACTTTCAGAATCAACTGAGGAGGAAGAAATGAAAGAGGTTCTCACTTCTCAATTCTTAATTAGGGTTTCTGATCTCTCTTTCGTTACTCTTTTCCGGTCGACAAAAAACAACGATAGAGCTTGCCACTTCTCATCCTCCTCCTCCCTCTCGCCGGTAGATTCACTGATTGAAGGCCCTATGAACTAGAAAAATGTACGACAAAAAAAAAGAACTAGAAAATGGAAAAGAAATATAAAAAAATAATTACTATTTTATTTTTATTAAAAAAAGAATTTGATGATGATGATGAGCTTTTCTTTGCTGGTAATCTTGATCTATAAGTGGATGATAATTGGCGTGTCACTTGCCTTTCTTGCAATCTCATGCTGCTTTTAGCTAGGTCAAATTAAGTATGTTACACACATGATCTTTCTTTATTGAGGTCTATAATTGTAAATTGGCCCTCGATGTCATCCCATGCTATCTTAAGAATGGACAGAGTAGAAGAGGAAGATATATTCTCCAAGGATTCCTGTTTTCTTTTTTTCTTTTTTATTGAATTGAAAGATAATTTGAAAAGTTTATCGAGTTTAAGAAATGTCAAATCGTGCACTCTTTTCCTTGAACTTAACTCCTATCCGATATAATCACTTGGAGTCAAATCACAAGAATTCTTGGTGAAACCCTCAATTACGGTACGTTTATTCCTGTCTTTGATTGAATTGAAAAAGAAGAACTCAATTCGATGCGCGAAAACTCATTCAAAGAATTATGCAACCACTAAAAAAGAAAGAAATGTTATCCGACAGATAAGTTATAGCTAGCGGATTGATCTTAAAGCATAGGTGGCATCTTTCCTTTTGGAGGGTCCTTCCATAGGATAATGCGATAGACCAAAGTGTAATTACATTCATCCTTATAGGCCCAATGCAAGGCACGATTTGGGGTTGAATTGATAGCCTATTCTCTCTTGGCAGAGCGACTTTAGTGAGGGGAGCAACCCTCGTGCCAAATAAGTCAATAAGCTTTATCCACGTTTTTTCCACCCATAAAGAGGGTCGTCTCCCCTTTCACGGGCCAAAATCACGTGCCCCAACACTTCAAT